TGAGTAAAGCAGCTTACCCTCCCCAATGTGTATGTGTGTGTGCCTCATCCAATCTGCTGAATGTCTTCAAAGAAAATAGGTTGGCCTCCCCTGAGGAAGAGGGAATTCTGTCTCCAGATTGTTTTGAAACTCCAACGGCAACATCAACAACATCAACTCTTCCCTGGGTCTTCAGCCTGCCAACTTACCCTGCAGACTGTAGACTTACCAGTCTCCAGAATCGTATAAGTCAATTTCTAAGTATCTATTTCTCTCACTCACTCTCTCCATCCTGTTGCTTCCTATTCTCTGGAAAACCTTCACTAGTCCCCCCTCTACGCATGTAGAGTATATATTTCATGCAAGCAGGGGCATGTCTGTCTTGCACATTACTAATGCATGCAAAACTACCATGGTGCCTAGAATATAGTAAATCCATTTTCTATAGGGACATAGTAACAGAAAACATATGGTAAAGAAGGAAAATGGATAAAATGAGAAAAAAAAATGGATTTATATGTAATCTCAGAGCCACTAAAGACAGGTCTCTGTGGAGGCAAACTGGGGTCCCTGAATAGACTGCAGATCCCTGGTGAGAGAGGTGCTCCACCAACACCATTTCTCAGGATACAGCCTGAGCGTTGGGCCCATGACAGTGAGGAACCATGAATGAAAATCTTTCTATCTCTCACAATAGCACGAATGAGAGAAACAGACCTATAAGACGTGGGTTTTGCTCACTGCATGCACTAATGTGCACAGTGAGGTGGAGGTTTTTTTAAAAAAAATACAAATGGGTCTTACTATGTTGCCCAGGCCTCAATCAATCATAAACTCCTGGCCTCAAGCAATCCTCCTGCCTCAGCCTTCCAAAGTACTGGGATTACTGGCCTGAGCCACCACGCCTGGATGTGATAGAGTGTTTTATTGCTGCAGTTATTGTTATTAGTAAAAATGATTGCTCTAACACCACGGTAGGAACATTCGTTGGCAGGTCAGCTACTCTCAGAAGCGTTAGTGACGGGCTCCACTGACAATGGCCATATTCCAAGAAGCTGATCACCTGGCGAACTGGATTAAATACACTGACATGATGTTAAATTCACATGGTGCCATCGTAATTGTAATTTCCATCATGACGTGGAAGGGACGTACGTTAATAGGGACACTATATTGAACAAAACATATTCACAGTGTCCCTGTGAACATAGTGTGCCTTCCACGCCATGATGGAAATTACAATGAGCATGTGGTCTCTAAAATAAGCTCCCAATTTATACACACTTTTCTGTTTGTTTGATTTTCCATATCTGCTCAAATCTGACCTGCCCAGGTCCTCTTAACAGCTATTTTCCACCCAAGAATTTAACCAGGGTATTTGCCATAAGGGACGCATTCTCTGGGGCTCCATTGCCGTAGAGATCATTCTTTCAGACTTTTGCTCATCTGATTTAATCACTTACTTCATTTAATACACACTTATGCATGGTATTTATTACGTACCAGGCATCGTTCCAAGTATTTTACTAAAGATTAATCAATATTATTTATTACTTAGCAACACCACTAGATAAACACCACAATTATTCACATATAAAAGAGAAAAGTGAGGCACATAAAAGTCAGGTAAGTGGTCCAGATTCCTGCAGCCAGTAAGTAGGAGAAGCTGCATTCATCCCATGGCTGGGAACCAGAGTCCAGGCTCTAAGGAAGCCCCCTAGGCTGCCTCTTTGTCATTTGGCTTCAGCTCTATGCCTCCTTCCAGCTAAACTGCAGCAGATCACCCTTCTAGCTTTGTCTGGGCTGGACTCTATGGACCTTTGTGGCATGCCCAGTAGCCTTAGGCCAAGTCGTCTCATTTCTAGGCCTTTCCATTTAGACCTAGTCCTGGCTCTCCTACTTGGCTCACTGGTCAACCCAACCAGCTGGCCACACTCCAAGATAGGGAGAATGGTCCTGTGGGTAGTACTTGGCCATGTCAAAGAAAGTAAGTTATTCTCAAGAAAGACAGAGGGACATGTGATGAAGGAAAATCACCAGAACTTACATTGAATATCTTGAGTCACATCATTGAATGAAATGGGGTTCATTTGGAAGTTGAAGTATTTGACAAATCAGGCTGAACAATCACTTTCACGTCTAAGAAAGAGAGACAGAGCCAGGATATCTCTGTTAATGGGTGTTTAATGTCACAAAGACAGAAAAAATCTCAGCTGATGTAGTGACCCAGTGACCATCAGTGTCCTGCCAGGCTCATGACTCAGACCCACTAAGGGACCCTGACCGCCTTCCTTTGCCCCCGGCGCTGCCAGCAAATCTGTGGCTGCTCGGCCTCCGTGACTCCTGGATCCTCCCCACCCTCCCTACCTCCTGCTTTCTGTTTCCTGATGTCTTCCACTTTCCCAGGCTTCACATGAAATGTTAAATTGGCTTCTGTTAGGGGAATGAGACTCTGAGTCACTCATTTTTTCTACTTCTCTCAACATTCTGCACTTTATTAGGGGAACATACATTCTATTTTATAATTACAGAACCATTGGAACATGGCAGGGGCGGTTCAATAAGTACGCTTATTCTTTGCATCAGGCTGTGTACGTGACCGTTCCCAAATATTTTCAGAAGGAATTCTAGATTATAGCTTTCATTGCTAATACTTGGAACTGAAAAAAGTGGAATCTGACCAGTTTCACCAGATTGAACCTTATTTATCTCCCCTGTCCTGAGCGTTAACTATCTTTCCTCCAGGTTTCTAGGCTTCCCTTGAGAGAGCCTGGAGGAGGGGCTCTCTGATCCTGAGACAAAATCCATCGCAGCAGTGCACTGTGCAGATCGCAACATTGCAAACACAGCGCTGTGGTGAAATGAGGCGGCTCTGAAGAACTCCACTGTTCGTTTCAGTTTCTCCTGCCGCTTTCAAGAATCCACAGTTTCCTTAGGCTTTATAGCAAAAGAGTGCTGCAGGCAACATACTGTGGTTTTTTTAAAATATAAAAGAGTATGCCCACAGAAACATTTTCATGCACTTTATATTTTTTATTCTTAAAATCAGTACTGGGATGTGTTATGTATTTATTGGTTTGCTTGCTGTGTGTGTGTCTTACCAAAATGAGAATGAGGCCTTTTTTCACTATTGTGTGCCTGGCACATAGTAAGGGCTCAATAAACACGCGTGTATGTGTGTGTTGGGGGGGAATTAGCTAATGAGTATAGATAGGCATCAAATCAGCGCACATTCTCAACGAGATAGTATCAGTTCTTGGGAGGGGAAAATCGTCTGTTGACGTAGAAAGTACAGATATACATACAGTAAATAAATACACAGCATATCTGTGGCATTAACATTTCATGGTGGAAAATGATTAGGAAAAAAATACCTGAAATGGCTCCTTGGGGAGGGGGAGTGGCGATAATGACAAAGCGGTTGAGAAAAACATTGAAATAGAAATTGAGATGAATGTATTCTAATGGCTTTCTTTTCTTGTTAACCTGCAGATGCATTCATACCATATACAGTCTTATTGTGGAAGTAAGAACTTGATTGCAATTTTTAACCAAAAAGTTTGGAACTTTATATTTTCTTTAAATGTGGAGAAGTAATTTTCATTTCAAGGACAAATTAATTATAGACCTGCTATAATTTTCAGGGAGGAGCTTTATTTTCCTTGCAAAGCTCTGGCATGAATTATACCTAGCAATATCAGGATTTTAAAGTGTAACTTAAAAGGATGAAAGAGGGGTGTTTTGGTGGCTTCTCTTTCCCTTATGTATCTCTCTCATGTACCACATTCCTATTAAGCACAGTATTCTGAAGATCACTCACTGTTTTCTATTGCAACCTGCAATTTGAGAGTTAAGAAAACGTCCTGTTAATTAATTTCCTAAGCGCCTCTTATCAGTACACAGGCAAACTGTCAAGCTCATTTTAAAGAAATATTTTTGTTTCAGGTATTAGTCACTTCATTGATTTCCCAGTGTATCTTAGGGAATGGTGGAGTATGATAACTCTAGTTCTGGTAGATATCTAAGAGGCAAGAAAGTGGATTAGGCAAAAGTGATGAATAAAAAAAGAGAAGACAAGTTGTATGATTCTAATTTCATATGTGCACAGAGAAAGAATAGGCTTTCAAAATGGAAATGGAAATGCAAATTAAGTAATGTCGTAGGAAATAGGTTCTAGTAGCTTTCTGGAGTCTATAATTTACTTAGAGTGCAATGTCCACAGGTGTGTGAGTGTGTGTGTGTGTGTGTACACAGGCCTGCGTACAATCAAATGCCTCAGAAGACTTCTCAGGTATCGATAACTCATAAACAGGTGATCTTGCGGTGGGGAATATTGTTCTTGCAGTATGCTGTGGCTTATTGATAGCTTCTACTTTTTGTAACTGGGATAGTTAGAATACTCCCCAAAGATGCTCAGGCTGTGCTTCCTGGAATGTGTAAATATGTCAGGTTACAAGGCCAGGGACGTGTAGACTGTAGATGAAATTAAGCATGTTAATGGGCTGATCAGGAGGATAATCTTATCCTAGCATATCTTAGATTATTCAAGTGGGCCCAATGTAACTGCAAGGTCCTTATCAGTGAACGAGGGAGTAGGAAGAAAGAAGCAGAAGGAGGCTGGAGCTTAGTCATCTGGTGGTAGCGCCAATGGAGCCAAGAATCACAATAAGGAGATGGGAAGATGCGACTGGCCATGCTGCCCTAAGGATGGAAGGGGCCTTGAAGCAAGGATCCGCAAACACGACAGGTGGGAAAACAAATTCTTCCCCAGGCCCTCCAGAAAGCAATGCAGCCCTGCCAACTCCTTGCTTCCAGCTCAGCAAGAGCTGTGCTAACCTACATAGTTTTCTCAGTGATTCTTCCCGCAAGAATTATGGCAAGAATTATGATGTCCACTTTACAAATGTGGAACCTGAGACAGAGATTTTAAGTTGCTTGTCCAAATACTCGGAGCTGATGTCAGTGCCGCACTGAAACTCAGGTGTGCCTGACTTGTGGAATCTGCCTTCTCTCCTCTGTAGGGCAAGCTTTCTTAGATGAAGAAGCCAGACATGGAAGACACCATTGGAAGTATTTGATACACACATGCCTTTCTTTGAGACCAGTTAACAGGTTTGTTGAGTTGTTTCTTTATTAATTTATTTTTCAATGCCAGTTTATAGGGTACTTAAATACAATAGTTGCTCAATACATGACTATCGGAAGAATGAAAATATAAATAAGTCAGTGAGTACATTTGGTTGCTTCTCCAAAGAGATAAGGTCTTATAGCCAGAATCTCTGTGATTCTCAAGAATCACAGAGAACAAAATGATTGGATCTATGAGTCACCAACTTTCTGAAATTTCCTGAGTTATTCACTCATGTATGTTATGATAGTTCTGAAATTTGCTGAGTTATTTCTGAAATTTCTTGGGTTGTTCACTCATGTATGTTACAATATCTCTGAAATTTCCTGAGTTGTTCACTTATGTACGTTATGATACTATATTTTAATGCTTCTGAGGGAGCTTTGGCTAAACACATATATGTGTGTCTCTCCTAGATTTTGAATTCCTTGAGGAACTGGACCACTTCTTCCTTATTGCTGGGTACCAGGTACCTCGTATGCATAATATGAGGCAGCATTACAGCAAAGCCTTCAGGAGTTATCCGTTGCTCTGAATAACACCAGAAAGAGCATCCAGTGGAAAGATGTTGTGTGACTCTTGGAGTCAAAGGAAGGACTGACCAACCAGGCCATGGGAAGCCAGCCAGAGCAGCTTGGAAATCTCGCCACAGGGGTTCTTTGGCTCTGTTGATGCTACCACCGGATGATGAAGCTCCAGCTTCTTCCTTACCCCATGGTCTTTGCTCAGCATTCAAATTCCCAGGAGAACACGGCTTTTGCAGCTTAGGTTACAAGATACCTCTGGGACCATTGGCTCTATCATGTGGAAGGCGGAAGACATAATTTTCCACGGAAAGTGGGGATACCAGAAGAAAAGGCAAATAAGTCCTGGATAGATCAAAATTATAAATGTTTATTGGAGTATGGGAAATACAGATTCAAACTGTACCTTTTCTATCCATTATTTGTGTAACTTTAATTTACTTGAGATTACTTTCTCCCACTCTAAAATGAAAATTATATTAGTTTCTTCCTTATAGTGTTGTTGTGAGAATTAAATGAGATAATAGAGGCAAATCTTGGAGGTACTGTGGGTTCAGTTCAAGACCACTGCAATAAAGGGAATATTGCAATAAAATGAGTCACACAACTTTTTTTTGGTTTCCTAGTGTGTGGAAAAGTTTGTTTATACTATACAGGAGTCCAATAAGTGTGCAATAGCATTATGTCTAAAAAACCCAATGTACATACCTTAACTAAACAATATTGCTAAACAATGCTAATAATCATCTAAGTCTTCAATAAGTCATAATCTTTTGGCTGGTGGAGGGTCTTGCTTCAATGTGATGACTGCTGACTGATTGATGTGGTGTGTGCTGAAGGTTGGGGTGGCTGTGGCAGTTTCTTAAAGTAAGAAAATAACAAAGTTTGCTGCATACATTGACTCTTCATTTCACAAAAAAATTTATCTTAGTGTGTGATACTGGTTGATAGCATTTTAGGCACATAGAACTTCTTTCAAAATTGGAGTTAGTCCTCTCAAATCCTGCTGTTGCTTTATCAACTATTATACACTTGTGTAATAGAAATTCTTGGTTGTCATTTCAACAATGTCTACAGTATTTTGACCAGGAGCAGATTCTATCTCAAGAAATCCCTTTCTTTGCACATCCATAAGGAGCAACATCTCATCCATTTATATTTGATCATGAGATTACAGCAGTTTAATTGCATCTTCAGGCTTCACTTCTGCTTCTACTTTTCTTGCTATTTGTACCACATCGGCAGTGACTTGCTCCACTGCAGTCTTGAACTCCTGAAAGGCATCCATGAGTTGGAATAAACTCTCAAAATCCTGTTAATGTTGATATTTTTACCTTCTCCCATAAATCATGAATATTCCTAAGAACATCTAGAGAGGTGAATCCTTTCCAGAAGGCTTTCAATATACTTTGCCCAGCTCCATCAGAGGAATCACTATCTATGGCAGCTAACGTCTTATGAAACATGTGTCTTAAATAGGAAGACTTGAAAGGTGAAATTATTCCTTAATCTATGGGCTGCAGAAAGGATGTTTTCTTAGCAGGTATGAAAACAACATTAATCTCCATGTACATGTCCATCAGAGCTCTTGGGTGACTAGGTGCATTGTCAATGAGCAGTGGTATTTTAAAAGAAATCTGTTTCGTAGCAGTATGTCTCAACAGTAGGCTTAAAATATTCAGTAAAATGTACTGTAAACAGATATGCTGTCATCCAGGCTTTGTTGTTTCACTTCTAGAGCACAGGGGGAGTAGATTTAGCATAATTCTAAAGGGTCCTAAGATTTTTGAAATGTTCAGTGAGTGTTGGCTTTAACTTCAAGTCACCTGCTGTGTTAGCTCCCAACAAGAGGGTCAGCCTGTCCTTTGAAACTTTGAAGCCAGGCACTGATTTCTGCTCTCCAGCTATGACAGTGCTAGATGGCATTTTCTTCCAATATTAGGCTATTTCATCTACATTGAAAATCTGTTGTTTAGGGTGGCCACCTTCATCAGTGATCTTAGCTGGATTTGGATAACTTGCTGTAGCTTCTACCTCAGCATTTGGCTGCTTTACCTTGCAGTTATATGTTGTGGAGATGGCCTCTTTTCTTTTTTGAGATGGAGTTGCACTCTTGTTGCCCAGGCTGGAGTGCAGTGGCTCAGTCTCGGCTCACTGCAACCTCTGTCTCCTAGGTTCAAGTGATTCTCCTGCCTCAGACTCCCAAGTAGCTGGGATTACAGGCGTCTGCCACCACATCCAGCTAATGTTTTTTTTTTTTGTTTTTTGTTTTTTGGGTTTTTTTTTCGTATTTTTAGTAGAGATGGGATATTACTGTGTTGACCAGGCTGATCTTGAACTCCTGACCTCAGGTGAGCCACTCACCTTGGCCTCCCAAAGCACTGGGATTATAGGTGTGAGGCACCATGCCCGGCTGACTTCTTTTCTTAGATCCTATTAACCTACCTCTGCCTGCTTCAAACTTTTTTCCTGCAGCTGCTTCTTCTCTCTAAGCCTGCTTAGAATTGAAGAAAGTTAGAGCCTTGTTCTGGACTGGGCTTTGGCTTAAGGGAATGTTGGATGATATGATCTTTTCTCTAGATCACTCAAACTTTCTCCGTATCAGCAATCATGCTGTTTCACTTTCTTATCATTCATGTGCTCCCTGGCATGACACTTTTAATGTCCTTCAAGAACTTTTTCTTTGCATTTGCAACCTGGCTAACTGTTTGGTGCAAGAGGGTCGGCTTTCATTCCACCTGGCTTTTGATATATTTTCCTCACTAAGCTTAACTGTATCTAGCTTTCGATTTAAAGTGAGAGATGTACAACCCTTTCTTCCACCTGAACACTTAGAGGTCATTGTAGGGCTATTAATTCTCCTAGTTTCAATATTACTTTGTCTCAGGGAACAGGGAGGCCTGAGGAGATGGGAGAAGGAGATAAGAACAGCCAGTTGTTGGAGCAGTCAGAACACACACATTTATTAATGAAGTTTACTGTCTTATATGGGTGTGGTTCATGGTACTCCAAAATGATTACAATAGGCACATCCAAGAACACTGATCACAGATCACTGTGCCAGATATCATAATAATGAAAAAGTCCAAAGTATTGTGAGAATTACCAAAATGTGACCCAGAAGAACAAAGCGAGCACATCCCTTTGGAAAAATGGCACCAATAGACGTGATGGACGCAGGACGTCACAAATCTTCTATTTGTAAAAATGCAATGTCTGTGAAGTGCCATAAAGTGAAGGTCGGTAGGACAAGGTCCCCGCATGCCTATGTCCTCGGCAAAGCGCCTGACACTAAGTGTGTGAGCGATGGCATTTGTAAAAAGAGGAGCGTCATCTGTTAGGACGCAGGGAATCATGTCCTTGACGATGAATTGGGGAAAATGACTTCATTCTTTTCACTGTGGTGACTGGTCCTGTGGTTTTCAGTTGGTATGAATAGCCAGTGTTGCCCAGTATGGGGACAGAGGTAGGGTTTTCTAGTAGCCCCAGGTGGCCTGGGATTTCAGAACCACACAAAAGCTGACGGTGGGTAAAAGATCAGATGGCACTGCTAACCCACAAGTTGGTAAATCTGCCCACAGATAAAATCAAGTTGACTGTATTTGCTTTTCATCAGTCTCTTTTTAGTTACTAAAATTTGCTAGCTAAACACTGGCCAGTTTCAACCTGCTTAATTTATGAAAATTGATAAGATCACAGACCATTATTCAGTGGCTTCAGTGGTGCAATTTTCTTTTCCCATATTCATTCAAGTTGTTTGAATACCATGTTATTCTTGTCTTCATCTTCCTTTTCATTTTTTTCTATTGCTTTGTTGAAAAACCAAAGCAAAAGCTTTTAGTTAGCTGATCTTATTCTGTAGAGTTGACAGTCTCATAAGGTTAGAATTGTTTTATTACAAAAGCAAACATTTGAAACCCCAGATATACAGCTAAGAATGTTTGACGGAGCAGGTGACTTCAAAGATGAATAACTAGATATATGTCTACAGTTTTCAGGTTTTATGAAATGAAGTGGAACCTTTTTTTAAAGAGTTTTTTTAAATGTTTTTTTTTCTTTTCCCTGATGATAGGATCAGTATTGCATATCAAAGAACTTGATTTCAAATAGGCACAACTACACATATACCACAATCACTTGTTTTAGTTCCTTTATTCTTTTTGAAGAAGCAAATATTTTATGAGTCTTAAAAGATCAATTCTCCGTGCTCTTGAACCACATCAAGTTGCCCAAGTGGAAGGGGAGTCTCATTGAAGGGTTTATGCAAGGAGGCGGAGATGTTGATTTCAAGGCCTCACCTCGCTAACCATCTTAATTGTGTTGATGCTTTTGTACCTAGGCAACAAATAGAGAACATTTTAAAAGTCTGACTTCTTAATTAGAGGAATACCAGACTAGATACTTATTACAAAAGAAAAAAAGCTACATTATGATTTTTTTTTTTTTGCTAAAATATCAAGTCCTACATTTGATTAGCTGCAAGGATGAGATTCATTATCTCCACCATGAAAACAAACTCTTGAATAACAGAGGCAGTGGGAAGACATTGTCAATGACCTCCACACCATTGATGGCAGCTGATTGTTCTCTAACAATTATTAGAAACAGTGTGATATGAGACATATAACACATGCGGCAAGGATGGTGCTTCTCCTGTAGTTAATCCTCAGTTCACAGGCCTTATTCATCTAACTTGAGACAAATGTAAAGAGTTCTTTGTTCCGCGGCACAGTTAACCTTTCCTCTGACAACTTGGAGCAATAGGAATGTGGCAACTGAACATCTACAGGTGAGGCACGAAAGCAGAGTCAAGACACACTTAGATGTGGCCAGGGTCTGTGCTGCCTCAGTAAACCTCAGTAGAGGTATAGGAATATCAGTAGAGTTTGTCTCAAGAATCACCACAGGTATTTTGTAGTATTTGCATCTTTCACTATAACAAAGTCATTCAGATTCAGTGCAAGTTTCCACCTCTTGCTGCGAAACCTGAGGTTAGCGGCCGCTCTCCCCCGGAGTCTGAACAAAGCTGGCACCTAGCTATAAACTGCGTATTTCTTACCAGAGTATTTTAAAAGTACTAAGGAATGTTTAACTGCAAATAAAGGGGAAAAGGCACATTGGGAACATCTTTTTCCAAGAAAATGTCAAAAGCTAATTCAGTTAATTAAAAGTCTGAATTACAGCACCTAATTTTTTTAATTGAATGAGAATATTACAATAATTGAAGACAAACAATGTTTCTAAGCTATTTAGGATTAACATTAAACTTAGAAATTCAATATTCTACAGTAGAATCTACAGTAGAATTGATCTTTATTTCTGTACTTAAAAAATCTATGTCCTATGTTTTTTAGGGAGGTGTTCAATCTAATAAATTAAATTTTATAGGCTACATATGTAGAAAATGACCTGAACTTCTCCATTCTCGCTCTTAATAGCTATGCATTGTCATCCTAAAAGTAATCCTTTACAGCGTTCTGTAGAACATGTTGAGAAACTTAAGTTATTCTTTAGGAGAGGAAACTTTTAGGTAATACAGCTATTCCCATAATGGCCTAGATTCTCTCTTGTCTAAAATTCTTTCTGGGAAGTCATTGAGAAGAATGGTAGGCATTGAAAAGGGTATGTAT